CCTCCTCAGGGTGCCGTCAACCAGACAGTGTCGGCTGGCGACACCCAGGGGGAGAGCCTTCTCTGTCGGAGCACCCACCCTCTGGAACGAGCTGCCCCCAGAGATCCGGGTGATTCCGGATCTCCCCTCCTTCCGCCGCGCCCTCAAGACTTGGTTATTTCAGCGGGCAGGACTGGCCTAGGGGTATTTTAATTGGTTTAACAAAATTTTAGTAGAAGCGGCCTATTCAAATATTTATTTTTAATCATTTTTAAATTTTGTATGGTATTGTATTATTGTTTTTAAACTGGCTGTAAGCCGCCCTGAGTCCTCCGGGAGAAGGGCGGGGTATAAATTTAATAAAATAAAATAAATAAAATAAATAAATCTAACTCTTTTTTTCTTCCATTCAATTTTGTCCAATTTTTGGAGACTGCCTGGACCCAGTCCCTGCAGTTTTCTTGGCAAGATTTTTCACAAATGGTTTGCTCCTGCCTCCTTCCTAAGGCTAAGATAAACTGACCCAGGGTCATCCAGTTGGCTTAGGGCCTAATGCAGAACTAGAACTCATGGTCTCCCAATTTCTAACCTGATGAATTAACCACTACACCAAACTGTCTCTCTGTTTAGATATTAGAAATACTAATTTCCCCTATTTTATTTAAACTTTCTTCTCCAAAAGGAATCAGAAAAATAAAAATAAATATATTCTGACCCAGGGTCATCCAGCTGACTTTAAGAATAGATTCCATGTAATCCAGTTATTTAAATAAAAAAACAAAAGCCACAATTAACAAGTAAGAGCAAACCCTAATATCAGAATCTCAGATGTAATGTTATGGAACTAGTCATAAAGACAATACAAGGTTAATGGCTAAATCTGCATCTATTGGAATTATATAGCTGCCAATCTCACAATGTGATTCTGGGTAGCACACAGAAAGCAACTAGTTAAAATAATTAAAACATTAAAAACTTTTCAACATAAATAGAAATAAACATTGAGTATGCAATAGTGGCGAATATCTATAGCTCGGATGTAGGAAGAGGGTGAAGGTTCGTTCTTCGAGCTTGTGGGTTGGTTTCTGAATGTTTCGTTACCAGGCTAGGTAACATCTTCAGCAGAGTTTAGGGGATGTCAGTGTTCTGTTTATAAGGGCTTCAGGTGTGGGTGTGTCAAGTGAGGGTCTTGTGTTGGGTCACCTATGAATCATCAGTGAGAGGCTTGTGATGGGTCTTGTGATAGGGAGGCTACATCAGGTCAGGGTCATTAAGAATGTTTACATAATTAAATACTCCTTTAACTCCATTAAACTTAGTGGATCTGTCTTGAACATCACTATGAGTTTGATTAGACTTCATAATGAGTTACTAAAAAAATTCTTCGTTTCCTTGAAAAGACCATATTTTTTCATCGTCTCCTAATTCTACTAATTGTCTAATTATATACTGTCCTTTTATGTCTCATAGAGGTTCCAGCGTGTTGTAAATTTGAAATCCGTACAAACAGTTTGACTCGAGATCGAATACTTTTTTTATATGTTGACTCTGATAAGTAAACCCTCCTTGCTGAACCTCATAATGCATTATATACCATAATAAGCATATAACATAACAGCAGTTTATGAACACTGGCCCTCTATGACATCATGGAAATATTTTCAACAAGGATAACTGTAAGAGATCCTTACAGCTTACTGGAAAGCAGATAGCTAAATATACCTAGCCATAATGCTTGGTCTCTTTTCAATGGCAGTTGGATTTCATAAATTCCACGATCAATTGCTTGGTAATACTGTACATACAAATGTATTAATAGTAATAAGTACTAATAGTCTGTTTTGTACTATTATCAATATTTTGCAACTATGGAGAATGCCTTAATGAGCAATATTACATGTATTAATTAATTTAACCTGAAAGCTACAGTCCTGTTTTGGTAAATAAAATATGCTAAATTTTATATGCTAAATAGATTAATAAGAGGTATACTGTATGGAAGTATAGCAGTAGCTACTACCACCCAAAATGGGAATTTTCATTGATATGTATTTTTTTCAAATAGTAAAGCAACCAGGGAAAATGTTCACTAAATTATCCTTATTTATGAAATTTCCAAATTCATTAAGCTCATAACTGCTAGTATGTTAGACTACAGCTGGCCTATTTGAACAAGATGATTTTTACTTTCTAAGATCAAAACATTTACAAATCAAAATCTAAATATGGAACACATACTATTTTTGGTGCTGTCATGATGTTTTCCCAAGAGGCCTCTGAGGGTAAGCTACATTTAATTGTTATTTTAGGTCACTTCTAGTGATGTCACTTTTACCACTGCCAGACTACTCACAACACAAAATACTTCTAAGCATATATATGTTCAGCAATGGTAAATTACAAAAGTATCTGTGATCTTTTGGTATAGAAAAGAGAAAGTTCCTGATCCTTTGAATTTTAAAGTTTTTTTACGGAAAAGAAGAGGTAAACAAGAAAACTATTCTGATCTTAATTAAACACCAAATTCCTATTTATTAAGACAAAAGTTTTATCATAAATACTGTATGAAAGTATGGACATTCCATATGAACTTTGTTTCAATATGCAAAAATTTACACAATTTACACATTTTCTGGCAATGAGATCGGGTTGGATGAAGAGAAAAGAGAAATGGCAAAGTAAAAAAGTGGCATTAGCTAAAAAATTAACAGGCTCTTTTCCCAACCAATGTTTTATTAAGAAATCCAGTGTCTGGATTTCCAGCCTCTTTCATCTAATTTTTTGTCACTGTTTTTTTTTCCTGTCCAATTATATTATGTTACATAAATTATATCAATAAATCTGTAATTAGTGGTAAATCCCTCTCACTTGTAATAATTGTAGAAGCTAAAGAAGCTTCTTGGATGAGAAGCAAAACGTCTTCAAAGAAAAACAAGAAAGTCCAGTTGCCTCGTGAAAAAGCACCCTTGAGATAACTATGACCTGGATGACTAAGAATCTCTATAGACATAAAAAGAGAATAGACAAAGAACACCACTGGCGGGAACATGATCCACAATGGGAGACTGTACAGAGAGATACTGCTTTCTGGCTTCCGCCTATCTTATCTGCTCTCAACAGGAGACTTTGAGCAGGTTCTTTCTAGGTGTCCATAGAAGATAGGCAGGATCATGTTAGTAAGTCATTTTAATATTGTCCTGATAAAACGTAGTAATACTTCATAGGGCCTTCTAGGTAATAGTGAGCATGCTAAATTGCAAACAGAAGTCCAGTGCAGTGACCCCCAAATAGCCCTAACCCTGCAATAGCAGGTTTCCCCTAATAGCAGTCTAGTTAATACATTCAGAATCAAATGCAGTTTCAGACTCATTTTCAAAGCAACTCCATGTGCGGTTTTGTTCCATGATGATCAAGTCTGAGTTACCATTGCCAAACCTCCCTTGCTATAGTTTCAATTGCTATTCCAGCTGGAGCCATAAGTCAAGACATAGACCTACTCTTTTGGGGACTTAGAACTACCACTGAGACCAATATTTCTGTCAAGATGTTTACAAACTACCAACACTTTCGTCTTGCTACAGCCTAATCTGAACATTCAATCCGTTAAACCTCTGACCTTATCTGAAGTGGCAATATACAGTTAAACATGATGAGTATACATCATCAGTATACTAAGGATATTTTACTCCAAAGAATAAATGACCAGCAGTTGCATACAGGCATTAATAAACATGGGAGGGATAAACAAGTCCTGCAGTCTCATATTGAAGCAACTGCTCTTCCTGCAATGACTAGAAACTGGAATTAACTGCTTGATAAGATTGGAACCATCAAAGAATAATGCCCTCAGTCCTCAGCTCTTACAGATGGTCTAGAAAGATGATATGGTCCACATTTCTGAACCCAACCAAGAGTCTAAGAGTACCAGAAATGGGGCATTCATTCATCCAGGTCCCAGTGAAGATCGCCCGCCATGCCTAAGTGAATCCTGACACCATACCTTCTCTAAAAAGATGGTTGGTGGCAAGGTAAGAGCTCAATATAGTTGGGTTGAGGGATGGAGGTGACAGGGTACATAGGGGCCTTTTTTTAAATCAAATGACATCACACCTTCCCTCAAAAAAGCATTACACTGCAAAGATATCCATTAAACATGAAGTATGAACCAGGCCATTCGGGCTTATCACCACATCATATTTAAAAACTTAGCTTAAAATATTTTGAACCTATGATAAAAAGGATACGATAAATTCAACTTTTAGATCAATGTAACCATTTCCCACTGACTACAACACAATAACCATTATAAAAAAATAATACCATGCAAAGCAATATGTTGACTATTCGGTGGGATGTTTTCTTTAGCCATGGAGATTAATAATTCACTAGCCTTTGAAAGTTTCTCTGCATTTTTATTCTGAAAAAGAAAAAATGGTAAGGCACAAACAAATGTATGCAAAAGGTACCAATTTGTGCTACCCTGAGTAAGAAAAAGCATAAAAAAGACATAGAACTAGCTTTCTGGTGATTCTTCACCCCCTCCTTCCAACTTTTGGTTTGAAAGCTAGGGTTAATGGAGTAGTGGGGAAAACAAGTTCAGTCATTTTCATATTTTTCAACAGAAGATTGATCTAATAGAGCAAGATAGTCCTGTTTCCTTGATATATCAGGGTTTTTTTCTCCAAAATACATTAACAATATAAGCTTTTGAATTGCATAATTTAGAATCATAAGAAGAGGTAGTCAGCTAACTGTATAGAACAGAGCAGTAATGGCGAACCTTTTAGAGACCAAGTGCCCAAACTGCAACCCAAAACCCACTTATGTATCGTCAGGTGCCGGGTGGACGTGGCCCATTGGGTGGGCGTGGCCCATTGGGTGGGTGTGGCTGCGGTGGTAATGGCAGACTGGGGAGGACTAAAAAGTTCAATCAATCAATTCCAACTTTGCGAGATCTTTTTTTTTCCTGCGAGAAGTTGAAATTGGTTGATTGATTGAACTTTTTTTTTTTGCACACGGTGGCGGAGGCCTAAAGCGAAAAGGTTTTATAAAATCCAGCTGAAGACCTAGGACTGGGGCGACAGCGCGCGTGCCCAGAGGACTCTGCGTGCCACCTGTGGCATGCATGCCATAGGTTCGCCACCACGGGAATAGAGGAATATGTATATTGTATTGTTCATCCCCTCTGTGAAGTTTGTAGGTATAGTCTAATATGGATTAAACAGCAAATCTCAATGTGATTGGACCATTGGACAGAAAGATCTGTAAGATCTTTAACCTGAACTACAGAAGCAAAATTAAAGGAAGAGTGCTGTGTTAATGTATTTGTTTTAAAATAAAATCTTACCTGCATCTCCATATATGGGGGATCATTTTCAAGTTTTGCCTTGTCCTGTAACAACCTCGCTTTGTGTTCAAGGAACTTGTCTAGGTTCTCAGCCATCATTGTTTACTTCTGGAAATAATAATCTAACTGAAGATAGTACCTAATGGATAAATAAAGGAAACACTATTTTACTAGGTGCCTAAATTTGCTTAGTTAATATAATTCAGACTATTGGGTTTTTTAAATCCCAAAGTAATTAAGAAGAAAAAAAAACAAATTGGGCATAAATAATTTGTTCTACTAAATAAGAATCAAAATCATTATTTAACTTTATCTTAAAGGGAAGATCCATACAAAATTTTATTCTGAAAACTATATTGTTTTTTTAGGCTTTAGAATGATCTTAAATACCTACATGTAAAACAATGGAATATAAGTGAAAGAATGAACAAAAAGAATTACATTCAAGTTAGACAAACGATAAATGGCTGCCTTGAAAAGGATGCACATTCTTTCCTTATCATTAAATAAAAATTACATACCTCATTTCATATGTAAATTACTTGTTATAAAAAATTATAGGCTCTGGTTGTACAGATTTAATCATATCAAAGACTGATTTACTGAAAAGAATTAAAGGGCTACCTCTGGGGCAAGTAAATGTTTCATGATACAGAACTGCACAGAATAAAACAAAATAAGGATAATCTCCGGCAGCAAAGGATTCTGTTGTAGCCCAGTCTAATTCCATTGTCTGCCTCTACAAACTCAAAAGCTACAGGCTAAATGTCCCCCCTACCTCCTCAGCAGTTCTCCTCCAGCTATCCTGCTCCCTGTTGTAGGAAGAATTGGGCAGACATTTCTTAAAACCAACACAGACTCTATAAATTATTCCAACAATGAAATGTAAAAATGCTTACAGAACTCCACTTCTGTAACTCTACAAACCCTAATGTCAAAACAGATACCTATTCTCATCAATTACATAGTATGAATTAAATTTCAAATTGATGGCTTGCAAATTGGAAAGATAGCACAGAATATATACCTCAAGCAACTATCACTTACTACAGATAGTCCTCGACTTGTGACCACAAATGGGACCAGAATTTATTTTGCAAAACAAAGCGATTGTTAAGTGACTGTTGTAAATAGATGCTGGTTGCTAAGTGCTCAAATTTTAATCACATGACTGTGGGGATGCTGTAATGTTCCTAATAGTCATGTCATTTTTTTCTGTGCCATTGTAAATTTGAATGGTCACTAAATGAATGGCTGTAAGTCAAGGACTACCTGTATTCTCCAATGAAATGTAGTAATAGTAATAACAATCATATACACATCCTAGGACTGCTAGTATACCTTCTGATTCAAGAACTCAGTACTAAAAGTAAACCTTTTTTCTTGTTTCATAAAAAAATGAGAAGGGATCATTTAAATTATTGGGTCTCTGTGCTAGAATATAAATTAAAGCATCTCTGTCAAATGGCTCTCCAGATTCTGCTTAAACACATCCAATGAAAGGAAGGGAACCTCACAACTGCTTCCAGCATCAAATTTCTCCTATCATTAAAAACATATTCTGGAATCTGCTTTTCTGTAACTTAAAATAATTATTAATTCTCCTGCATTTGGATGATATAGATCACAGCTCCCATTTGTCATATTTTATTAAAGCCAAACATAAATGCTTCTCTCAGTGTCTAAAGTATTCTTCGTCAGGAGACGAGTAAGAGAAAACACGGATAACATCATTTAGAATTTTATAACGTATTTTCACAACTTTTCATTGTTGTCCGGACCATGATCGTGTCGTGGACTATAGAGTAAGATCAACTTCTTTCTTTAAAGTTACTCGTGAGGGATTTGTACCGAAAGTTCTGTCGTAATTTAGGTGGATAGTTGCTGGCCCTCCTGCCCATGATTAAGTACTTAGATCAGAATTGTACAAATTTGTCCTCAAATGATTTACTAATATCAAATTATGCACACAATATCCACAATCTACTAAGGCTGAGATCCTCAAATTATGGGTTGCAATTTTCCAGAGGTCACAAGTAATTTAGAAAAATTGTAATTTTTAAAAAATGCTGATCAAGTTTCTGCAAACAAAGTGGAAGTGCTTTAAAACTTGTTTGTGCTTTGTCTGGACAAACCTACTGTGGGTCTGTTCATATAAAGTAAGTTCATATGGAGTAAAGCCCCAAACTAATTTTAAGAGATGGCTAGGCTTAAAGGTCTAACTTCTGTCAGAACTATTTTCCAGTCACAATAGTTTTGTTTTTTAGTTTTATTCATGATGGGGTTGCACAAAGATGTATTATTTTAGAAGATCGTACTACTGCACACTTTGAGAAAACCCCTACACTTACAGAAGACACCTAATCAAAATATGAAGTAAAATTAGTTAATTATGATGCATTCTTAATAAACCCATAAGGATTTCTAATCACTATTCCACAGTTTTCAGTAAGTTTGTAGATTAACTACTTGATCTCTTCTAAAGTCTTTCAAGCAATGGGACGCTGAATGGTATGTAGCTTTCAAAGGGTAATGTTTCCCTTTCTCTAATACTGTATTCTCACATTTCATTCATTTCCCAGGATTTTTCAAAGATAATGCACAGAGGTTTGCTTCATCAACAAGTTCCCTCACTTCATAAACCCTCTTCCTGTGTTATTTTTCTTCTTTTATTTATTTATTTATTTATTTAATTACATTTATATCCCGCCCTTCTCCTTGCGGACTCAGGGCGGCTAACAATTAGATAAAATACAAACATAGAAAACACCTTTAAAATTAATTAAAAAGAAATATTTAAACTAATCTGATTAAAAGTAATTAAAACACCGTGGCTCAAACATCACACAAAAGTGGCCTATCCAACTTCTTTAGTACAAAAGTACAAATATTCCTTCAAATGTTTTGATGAACCCACAGGACCATGAAATGAAAGGGGCAGAGGCCTGCAAACAGTATTTCCAAATGCAGCTGCCATATTATGGGATTGCTTCCCTTTCTTTTCTTTTTTTTTATTATTATTATTATTTAAACCGACAAACAAAACAAAACATAATACACATATATACACAATATATATTTTAACATCAACTTCGTAACAGTAATCTTCTATTATTTACATTTTCCCCCTTATTCTTCTTTATAGTATTTATCCTTATTGCCCCATTATTTCTTATTTGCATTTTTCTTCCTTCATACATTATTATATACACATTTAGGTGCAAATTGGAAAGGTGTAAATAAGAGAGAATAAAGATGAGAGATCGGTCAGTATGGTGAACGAGGTATAATTTATTATAAGACACAGAAGAAAAAGAAAATAGAGAAAACAATTAAACAGGTTCTCAGCACAGTCCAGGATTTTCTTTATCACTTCTTCCTCTGATGGTATATTCTCATTTTTCCAGAACTGTGCTGGATTGCTTCCCTTTCAAGGTTGCATTAACAAATTCACTGTTAGCCTTCGGGAAGTGAAGAATGAATTTCCGCAAAAGAGAACATTTGGAGAACGAATCACCGCTAAGTTTGCATTTTTCCTACTTGCATTACTTGTATTTTTACACCTGATTGATTCCGTTCTGATGGCATCTTATTGTTAAATGTTTTCTAGTTTCATGAGGTAAATCCCTAGGCTAGGATTCCAGCAGCAAAGAACTACAATAGGCAAATAACCAGAAGCTACAGATATCCGAAATATCTTCTAAATCCAGAGAAAACGATACAGAACAAAGCGAACCACTCGGAATTGAGACAGAAGCGCAAACAGCGGCTTCAAGTTTCCGGGAGCCTGTCGCTTTAAGAAGAAGCCGGACGGCGTTGTTAAGCAACCAAAGTACAACAAAACCTGCGGCCTCCAAAGAGCTTTGGCGAAAGCCGACCGCGCAGCGTCTCCACAAGCACCCGACTTTCTGAGCCGAACATCTGGATTTAAATCGGGGGTTCTCAACCTTGGCAACTTTAAGACTTGTGGACTTCAACTCCCAGAATTCCTCAGCCAGCTTTGCTGGCTGAGGAATTCTGGGAGTTGAAGTCCACAAGTCTTAAAGTTGCCAAGGTTGAGAACCCCTGATTTAAAAGGACAATTCTACGCCCAACCTCGCCCACCCCGACCCGAATGGGCACTTCTGCCAGCCCTCTCCAAAGCCCTACGACACACGCAAGGGGCCCCCTTTGCTTGCCCCTTCAGGTCCATTTTTCACCCTTCCCCAGCGGGGGGAGGAGGGGGGCCGAGGGGGCGGAAAGGAGAAACGGGCTTTCTCGGCGCGCGCTTCTACCGGACAGTTCTGGGTCAGCATGAGAGTCCTTTAGGGCTGCAACCGACCAGTCTTCGGAATTGTCCTCGCCCGAAGCTCACCTCGTCTGCCGCTCGCTCCGGAAAGGCCCAGGCGCCGGCGGGTGCTCCACCAGCGGCTCCCGCCGATTTTTCTCAGTCTCAACCGAAGCTTCTCAGAGCGCTCCGCCTTCTCAGGGAGGAACCTAAAAAGCAGGGGGAATAGGCTGCGTGCCAACGGCGCCGTCTACTGCCTGGAATTAAAAGCACATCCGGATTTGTGAGAGGTGGCCGAGGACCTATTGGTCCCCTGTGCTGCGTTGCAGAAATGAGACGTCTTTTGGGCAGCCTTTAATCCAGGGGTCCTCAACCTTGGCAACTTTAAGACTTGTGGACTTCAACTCCCAGAATTCCTCAGCCAGCAAAGCTGGCTGAGGAATTCTGGGAATTGAAGTCCACAAGTCTTAAACTTGCCAAGGTTGAGGACCCCTGCTTTAATCTGTTTGCAGTTGTCTAGCGCTCTGTGCAAGCTCAGAAACCCCCTTGCCAACAGGCATAGCAGACGTCCCAACACTTTTTTTTTTTTTGTACCATCGAATCAATCTTGACTACTGGCGACTGCCTGGATTAATCCCTGCAGTTTTCTTGGCAACATTTCAGAAATGGTTTGCCATTGCCTGCTTTCTAGGGCTGAAAGAGACCACTATAATAAATTGGCTCAGATTAGGCTAGATCGAAGTGGGGGAAAAAACCCCCCACTGTTTTTCTGGACACTTGAGTAGCTAAGGAGTTTGAGAAGAGGAGCGACCAATGTTCAGCCTACGCCACGGTCTGGCACTTCAAAGTGCTGCAGCGCTAAAGTACATGTGAGAATGGGCTGCAAACATGCAGTATAGATTCTGATCTGGTGCTGAGATCTTCTCAAGTTATAACCAGCTGGCATAGAGAAATATGTTGATTTCCTTAACAAATAAAAACAAACAGGTTCCTTGCTAGGCAGCTGAAAGCCATGTGTGAGAGCGTCCAGGTTTTTTTTTACCTTAAAAATAAATGTGTCTGAATACAACAAGCACTAACTAGTTGCAGGGACAGTACAGACATGAAAACCTATATCAAAATATGACAGTTATTGTAACGAGGAAACCGCTAGCTTTTTGTATCAAAAATGCTAAGTTATTTTGATCACTCAGTATTATTTCAAAAACCAAAGCTAAATAAATATCTGGGATAAGAATCAGAAATATTTTAGAGGAAAATAACTGGAAATACATTATGTTAATGCTATAGTCAAATTTCACTCCACAAATATTAACTAATGAACAAATTCCCATCAAAATTCCCATGGCCAAGAATTCTTCAAGTCCCAACACATCTGGAGGGCACTAAATTAGGGAAGAGTATTGTCTCATTTAGCTATCAATATATCTAAAATGCATAACAATTACCAAATGGCATTTGCCCCAGCTTTTCAATGATTTAAACTTTCAAAGTCTGTTCTGCTGTGTCCTTTCTTCGCAGACATGCAGCCATCAACCAGTTCCATATTTAAATACAATGGAGAAAGGCTGCCAGCAGTACACAGAGATCTCCTAGATCTGGGTTTCTCGAACTCAGCAGTTTAGACTTCAAGTGCCAATATTCGTCGGAAGTGGCATGCTGGTTGGGGAATTCTGGGAATTGAAGTCCATACATATTAAAATTGCTGAGACTGAGAAACACTGTCTTGGATGGCCTGGCCCTGGGGCTTTTCCCGGAGACACACCTGACGCGCAGAGTAAATCAAAGGCGAGGCTAGCCCGGCTCTTGGGAGACTAATTCCATCGCTTACCATTAGGGGGCAAGCTGCAGGTTTCGCAGAGTGGGAGGAACCATTCGCCAGGAACGACTGTTCTCCCCTCACTTCCGGTTTGCGCTGTCCGACAGCGGACCGAGAGGTTCCTGCTGCCCGAGGCGGTTCACCGGGAAGCAGAGCCTTCTTTGGCTCGGCCTGACAAGCCGGTGAAATGGCGACTGCCGGCCCTTCGGGGAGCGGGATGGCCCAGAAAACGTGGGAGATGACTAACAACATGCAGGAGGCACAGAGTATCGATGAGATTTACAAGTATGACCGCAAGCAGCAGCAGGAGATCCTGGCGGCCAAGCCATGGACCAAGGAGTAAGTTGGTGTCTGGGCGACAGGGAAAACCGCCGCTCCCTCTGCGTTCCTCGTTCTCTGCCTTGGTTCAGAGAGTTCTGCCGGCTGCCGAGGTCGCTGCCCGATCCCACGGCCAGGAAAAGGGGCCGGTGCAGCAGTGATGGTGCATTTGCCCCAGAGGTAGCCTGATGCAAGGCGGATCTGGAGAGGATGGGGAGATAGAAAAACGGGTCCAAGAAGAGATTGCATTCTTTAATTGGATATAGAGGTGAAGGATTTAAATTTAAAAACAGAGATGGAAATTTGGATTTTGCAGATCCTAGGGAGGTAGAAATAATAGGGTTTGGCACTCATATGGATGTTAACAAAAAGGAGAAAATGAAATCAGGGATGAAACTAAGGAAAGTGAAGATGGAATTAAATTAGGTGAAGAGAGGCATATTTATTAGAGGATTGCCCTTCAAGCAAACTAATGACATATCTACTGGGTTTTACAATATATAGTTAAGCCATGTATTTAGGTCTTTCTCTTCTTGCCTGTAACCATGATGCAAACATATCCTGGCAAACTTTTTTTTCTGCCAGGATTCCACAACATTGCCTTTATCTCATCTCTTGTCCATGAACGAGACAGGCCTAAGCTGTCCTTAACTGTTCTGTTATAAACTATTGTTTTCTTCCTTAAGCCAACAGCAATATAACACAGTTTCAGAGTGTAGAAAATGTAATGCACTTTGCTGATTATTCTGTCTACAGAAGATCAGATGATCCACAGAGAGAGGCTCTTTTGAAATTACAATATTCCACAGCCTTCTATTTCTCATTAGTGTGATTCTTTCTCAAAAAGCCATGAATGCTGAATTAGTCCAAGGGCATAGCACTGAAGCCATTTCATACATTCATATAAAATGCCTCTACTAAGTCAAAAATAAGGAAAATGAAGAATATTGCAATATGACATTAGATACAAATTAAACAAAAATACGTTACTGTGAAACATAGATGTTTCACTTTGACAGTTGACAGTGTCATTCATTGGAACACCAATATTGGCCAAAATGATTGAGTTGTTACATAATACAATTTTCAAATTATCCAGCATGATACAATCTAGAACAGAGACCCCCAACCTTTTGTGCACCAGGGACCAGTTCTATAGAAAAGATTTTTCCACGGACCAGAGGGGGCGCGGTTTCGTGTGCTGCCTGCATCCCGCGGATGGGGCTTTGCTTGATTGTGCGGCCCAATTGCTGGCATGCTGCGGCCCAGTGCCGGTCCACGGACTGAGGGTTGGGGACCCCGATCTAAAAAATCAGTCTATTAAGATTGCCCAAATCACACTTTTCTCTTTCTCCCCTTCCTGAGCAGAGAGGTCTTCAGAGTTCTTCTCATTTGCTTTTCTTTCTCTTTTACTGCTTTGAGAATTCTTCATTTCTTTGCCTAGCAAAGAGATTTTTTTCCTCTCCTTTCTCAGCATAGAGACCCTTGCAGAGGGGCAGCAAGACCCTTAACTTTTTGTCTGCCTCTTCCTTTTCTCCCTAAAGCAGTGGTTCTCAACCTGTGGGTCGGGACCCCATTTGGGGTCGATCGACCAGTTCACGGGGGTCGCCAAGCAAGGCTGTCCGCCATTTTTTTCCCCTTTTCCGGCGGGTGCCTTATCTCCCTTGAGCTGGGCCAGCTGGTGGTTGGCTTGCTCCGTCTCTGCCGCTTGCCAGCTACGCCTCGGCCGGCGCAGGGGGCAGAACCACGCATGCGTGGCGTTCCCGGGCAGGGAAAGTCCTCGACTTACAACCGGTTGGGTAGTCCTCGACTTACGACCGGTTTAGTCCTCGACTTACGACCGGTTTAGTCCTCGACTTACGACCGGTTGGGGTCGCGGCATTAAAAAGGTTGAGAACCACTGCCCTAAAGCAGCTTGAGCCTTCTGGCCAATATTTCTTACCCAAGCCTCACATCTAACCAGGCCCCACTTTTCTTGGGAGACCCAGAATGTTGTGCTAAGTGGGTTGTGAGGTTTCTGCCAGGCCACATCTTTCTTAAAGTGACTCACTTTGCCCAGCCTGCATATTTATACAATGCTACCAGCAAGCATGTTTGGAGATCAGAAAGCCAGAACAAAACCAAGACAGAGATTGGTAATAGGATTGCATATTTCATACCAATAAAGTTTTTGATGTCTTGAGAATAGGAACAGAACATTTTACTTCAGCAACTCAAAAAGACCTTTATTTTTTGAAACTTATATACACAAACATTTTATATGTAGCCACATATAATATGAAAGCACAGAATATTAAGATACAGAATACTTTAGGATGTGGCCTGTGTTGACAAAAAGGAAGGAATTCACAGTTTTTTAGAGGTAATTCTATAAGTTAGATATCAGAATAGTTCTCAAATTAAGCAATGCTTTGAGCTAAATTTCCCACATCCAAACCATGCACAATATTACCTAAACTGTTTACTGAATTATCAGACAATGTTATTTTATGGTTTTGCAGTATAGTTCTACTTTATTTATTTAAAATAACCGGCAGCCTGTATCATTGTCAATATGCTACAAAAAGATAACAGATTAAAAATATGTACAATATAGGAAATTATTAAATTAGAAACAGTAAAAATGCCATGGATAATGAAAAGTTATTTATTTCATGAAAAAAATGACATCAGTGCTGGATCCAAACATATTCCTACAGATGTATTCCTACATATTCCTTGTCATTCAATAGAGAATTGTTCTAGGGAAAACCCTGCTGCATACCATATATCTGAGCAGATGGTGCATTAAATAATCCATAGTCGGTCAATGCCTTTTTTAGGAACTACATAAATATACAAAAAAATGCTTGGGATCATCACCCAAAATATTACAAAGGGAAGTTTATGTAATGTTGAAAACATGAATTTTGTGTAGTGACAATCTTAACGATGGCATGAAAGAGAAACGCTTATATGTATACTAGACAAAATTTTAGTAGATGTCATTCTGTTGTATGCCAAATTTCGGGCTACAACAGCTGTTGGAACAAACAAATATACAGTAACGGATTCCCTGTTTTTTGGTAGATAGATTCTCATCTTAAGTCTTAAGTCCCATCTTATGGTGTTGGATATTTATCATGTTTATAATTTCAGAATTGTCAAGATTTTCTTTTCTGAGTGTCTATCTCCAGTTACACTTTTTGTAACATCTCAATTATCAAAATATTCTAGAGATTTCAAAAACTTTAGTATGTTTTGGTTCTCTTAAAGATTAATGGTGGATTTTTATTTTTTTCTTGTGACCTAAAATAGCCTGATAATAGAAATGCCTAATGGAAAAAATTCAGAGAAGAGCAACTAAGATGATGAAAGGCCAGGAGACCAGAACAGCTGCAGGACTTGGGTTTGGCTAGTCAAAAGAAGAAATAGGGGAGACATGATAGCAGTATTCCAGTATTTGAGGGGCTGCCACAAAGAAGAGGGGGTGATGTTATTCACCAAAGCACCAGAGGGAAGGACGAGAAATAATGGTTGGAAACTGATCAAAGAGAGAAGCAACCTGGAATTAAGGAGAAACGTCCTGACAGTGAGGACAATTAACCAGTGGAACAGCTTGCCTCCAGAAATTGTGGGTGCTCCGTCAGTGGAGATTTTTAAGAAGAGATTAGATAGTCACTTGTCTGAGATGGTATAGGTTATCCTGCTTGAGCAGAGGATTGGACTAAAAGACCTCCAAGGTCCATTCCAGCTCTATTCTATTCTAGAGCCATTATGCTTAAATAATGTATATGTATTTTTTCCTATTTTCCTTTCTATTTCTATTTCCTTTCTATTTCTATTTCCTTTTAAGATATTTGGTCTTTTCTTTGCAGCCACCATTATTTCAAGTACTGCAAAATCTCTGCCTTGGCTCTTCTGAAGATGGTCATGCATGCTAGATCAGGAGGCAACTTAGAAGTGATGGGCTTAATGCTTGGAAAAGTAGATGGTGAAACGATGATCATAATGGACAGTTTTGCTTTACCAGTGGAAGGCACTGAAACCAG